TTTTTTTTTTTTTTTTTTTTATCTCAGTCGATGCATTGGCCTGGGTGTGACGCTCGTTGAAACCCACCCTTTTCAAAATTTTTGAAAATTCAATGCTAAATATCTCCTAAACCGAAGGAATTATGGGAAAAATTACTACAGAAGTCTGACCAAAAGTCAAGTGGAAATTCCAAATATGCCCTTGGATTTGACCTTTGGCCTTTATTTCAAAGTCAAATGGGCCAAAATTTTCTAAAAGTGGAAAATTTCTGCAAAAAAAATGTTTGTTTGTGCCAATTTTCAGAAACTGCACAGACCTATTTTCACGGGAGTAGCGGCCATAAGATGCTGAAACTGAAAAGTCTCTAATTCAGGAACCGTAAATGCTAGAGACCTCATGTTTTTTGCATTTTGTAGAGCTTGTCAAGCACAGCACTAGTGGTGGTGTCCCTTTTTTTGGTTTTCCATACAAATGCGCTTACTCCAGCTGGTGGTACAATATCCGGAGGCGGTATCGACTCTCTGATCCTCTAGTTTATTTTTATAATTATTATTATGATTTTTTTCCAGAGAAACCAGTGGACTACTTTGAATTTGTCCTGAACCCTGGCTCTTATGGTCACACAATAGAGAACATGTTCCATGTAGCATTTCTGGTCAGGGTGAGTATTTATCAAAGACTGGGTTCTCATAACAGTAATCGATCCATCTCCGAGGGGTTTCTCCCTAAATTGTTTTCAGCTTAAGAGTTGCGAAGAAGGCTTTCCCCAAACTAGTTCTTTCAGCTTATGAAAATTTTACATTTATGACAAAAATTGTACAAACATTCAGTCTTGCTCATTTCAACTCCCTGTACTTTGCAGTCCTGGGTAAAGACCTGGTTGTGAAACTAAAACATTATTTATTTATTTATTTTATTTTATTTTTTATTATTATTATTATTTCAGGATAACCTAGCCAAAATACTTCTAGATGAATATAAATTGCCTGTTATAGGTGGGTCGGCTTTATATACAAATACATTTCAATGGTCAATTATTTAGATTTCTTCATTACTTCAATACATGCAGATTCTGCATCCCAAATTTTGGTGTATAATATTAGTTTTCTAGCACAGCATAGCCTGAAAGCAGGTGACTGGTTAAGATTGTAGCAATCCAAAATGCTAGTTTAATATCTAATCAGACTTCCTTCTCATTGAAAACAGTTTTGTAAAACAGTCATGTTCTCCTTTCAGAGCCTGTAGAAAAACATGCTGGCGATGCACCAACTGAATCTTTACAGAGGCATCAGTGTATCGTTTCAATAACAAACAGTGAATTTGAGGTAAGATATTCAACAGGATTCCTATTATACTAATAGTTGATATTAAAAGTGCAAGTTTAAGCAGTATATTTACAAGTTAGATTATATAGTTGGATTTTTTAAAATGGCATACTGTGTTAGCAAAAAGCATAGTGCCATAGTAAACAGAATGAAAAATTGAGTTTTTCTGAGGGTGAGTATTTTTTTTTTTCAAAATAACAGAGCTTTTCCACTCATGATTGTTTGCAGGAACTCGTTAGAACATTCCAAGTTAAAACAGCAGCCATAAAACCAGTTGAATTAAAAAAGGGGAAGATTCCCAGTGCAAGCGGAGATAGTGGACCAAGCCAAATGAATGGCTTTGATGCACATCCTGGGCCACAGAGCAAGAAAGCGAAAAAATGAAGACAGTTAAAAGCTGAGGAAGAAAAAACCCTGGTGATGATAACAAATTGGCGTGATGATTAAGGTGGATTTTGCCGTCTTTATATGGAATAGGGTTGCAAGGCTTGAGCACAAGTTTGGGTTATACTATACTTAAAAAAACCTTAGTAGTATTTGGTATGGTTTTTATACATCATAATATTATTCCACTTAAAAGCTTACAAACCCAAGTTATTTGTACAATCGTCGTGTCTTTACACTGATTAATGAAACATTTTTAATCTACTTTGAAATCGCATTTGTCATATTTGCAGAACCAATTATTATCTATTTTATTATCCTCTATACTTGATGTCTTTTTAAATACACTTATAAGACACATCGGGTAGTTAGTAAATAAAATGTTGGAAGTCTGTTTTGTAGTTTGTACAGAGGCTAATGAGCTTGCCATGTCCACTCTTTTATAGACATCAGTTTGCGACATCCATATCTGTCATTGGCAATTGTGATTCTTAATGGATTGTTAGAGTAAACGGCTAGTAGACAACAAAGTCTATTCTGGTGTTGAGCATGTTAAATTTCTGTGCAATTTTAACATAGAATATAGCAGTCTGTAGTGATGAAAAAATTACACAAGAAATTTTGGCTTCCTGATTTGATTGTGCATTATTACTATTAGAATGGAGCAGCATAATATAATGATAAAATTCTTTGTCTTTGATTCAGTGCTTTGAAAATCAATAAAACACATTAACATGAAGATTATTTTAAAAGGCATATAATTCATCATCGTAGATATTTTACTGCTATGTCAAGTTGTAGTAGCATAAGCATTGTCATTAGATACAACAAATGATTTTCTTTTCTGAATATAAAGTGAAGCCCAGAATGTAAAAACGATTTCATGAAATATTTTTGTTTGGTCTTGGAGTCGGTTTTTGCGTCTAAAAACTTTCTTTTGCTGAAATAGAGAAACTGAAGCAGAATATAAGGGCTTGCGATCTTGTATTGCTGATATAACTTTTATGTACTTGATTCAGACTAGTCTAGTCCTCTGTTCGTCATTCGATGCACATGTATATAGTTTTGTATATGAAAAATATTTTATCTCGATACAGAATAAAATTATTTGCTATACTCATCGATGTTCTTTGTTCAGAATCTTTGTAATAAAGAATTGCCAGACGTCAATTTATGCAGCGATTGAATAGAATTCGTAGAGATGGGAAAACGCCAGTGACGAAATTTCATTTATAGTTGAAGCAGACCAAGCATTGTGATCATTTTTTTAATTGACGCAAATAACAGATCGAGACCTTTTGATGTTGACGTCACTAAGGGCATACAAAATGACATTGTAAAAAACAAATTTTATGTAGATATAGGTTCTAAAATGAGTAAACTAATATAGAGAAGATTTTCATCAGCTGTGTTGTCATATAAGAATACAGTAATTTTTCTTCAATCAACAGCTAATATTGACGGCTAATATTACCTCCAATATGCCGATGTCTTTAAGACTGTTGAGTGCAGAAAAATCACTTTATTCCAGGGTCATGCAATGCACCTACATTGTGAAACGACAATTTCTGAAACAAAAATGCATTGGACCTTTGTTCCACACACGTGTTACAGGTAAATAGTGCCTTTTTTCTCACTTCAAGTCATTTGGACGTTTTTTTTAATCTGAAAACAATACTGCATGTATGCAGTGTTTTTATATAAAACATTGGGGGCTATTTGGCAATGTGCATAGTAAAATGGCACAAATCTGAAGATGATTATTTAATAATGATTTTTCATGGGTGGATCTTAATTGAGCGGCATAGAAACAATAGAATTATGTGATACCATGGCATTGCGGTAAAATACACCGTTATATGGCACAAATATAGGCCTCATTAGTATCTATAGTAGCGTATTGGATTAGTAGTAATTATTGAAGACTGCTGAATTTTAGGCAAAAATATCGAAAATTCCAAGAAATTCGCTTGGAGTGGAGTATTTTCTATCGATAATTTGCCTCTATTAAATATAGATATAAAAATTTGATGACTGGAAAATCTTATATTATTGACTGCTCCAAGTCTCAGGACATGCTTTCACAATGCTGCAAGATGCAAAAACTAAGAAAATTTTTTCATAAATGCAATTTTATTTACAAACGCTAGAAATTAAATAAATGAAAAAGAACATGAAATATTATACAAACGATAAATAGCAAATTCAATTGAAAATATATAACATTTGGCACCTCAAATTCATGATAGCTGAACCGGTATTTGAGCATTTGCTTAGTGGGGAGTCTGGGGACCAACCTTGCCGGTTTAACTAAAAATGTTTTACGGCTATATTAAGAAAGTAAATGGTTTGAATTTAATCACTTGGGTTGCCCGACGAAGTCGAAGCTGTTTTCTTGATCAAACCGCCTTCTTCTCTGTGATAGTGTAAAACGGTTAAGTTAGCCCAGTGTTGGTCGATAACAAGATTGTGATTTGGAATGTAGTTAACTCCGCAAAACTAAGACTCTATATATGCCATCAAAGCACTGGTGTTCCACTGAATCAATATAGGGAAGCTTGAACAAAATTTGGATAAAACTTCTGTACAGTCTCCCTTAAGAACTAGTTTAAATGTTGATGCATCTTTGGAATTTTAGCTGTTTTGATTATGCTCCTGCTCATTGCATAAAATACTGTTCATAAGATGAAACTCTGCGCGAAAAATCGTTCGAAATATTTCTTTCCTTTCAAGAAAACATCTCTTATGGTTTTGGCGGTTTTAGTTCCTCACAAGTCTAGGAAGTAATGTAATTGTGAACGTGACCTTTCGTGCGTGAAAAGTTATTCGATCAATGAGTTGTGATAGGATATTTCCTATTTTTGTTCTGGTTTGAATTGCTATAACTTTGTGCTCTTCCGCAAACGTATACAGTTAATTAGTCCAATCGATCACAAACGGAAGTCAGAAGTAGGGTGATAGAAATCAAGAAAGTTTTATGCCAATTCAATACTAAAAACTTCACTAGTGAGACCCATTTTGTGGCACATGCATTACAGAAACCGCTTGTTAGTCCAATGATATATTGTTCTGCCTATCCGGCTTTCTTTTCAAAGTCTTCAAGTTGTTTCACCACTATCTCAAACTCCTTTTCTTCGGCCAGTTTCAAGGGCGTCCTGTTCTTGCGATTTTTGAGTGTGATGTCTGCGCCGTTTTCAAGCAGAATGGATACAATTTCTTCCCGTCCACGCCAGCAAGCGTCGTGCAGGGGCGTCCAGCCGTCGGCACCTTGGCGATTCACAGAGGAGCCAGCAGCCAGTAACTCTCTTACGATATCAGGGTATCCGTTGAGGCAAGCGACATGAAGAGGAACCCAGCCGCCCAACTTTGCTAGTTCACATTGGGCCCCTTTAGATAGCAGGTATTTTACAACGTCCAAGTGGCCATTTTGGGCCGCGACAAAGAGAGGTCCGGAACCATCGTGTTTTCTCAAATCTACATCGGCTCCTGAGTCCACCAGCAACTCCACAACCTCAAGATACCCCTCCTGACATGCTAGGTGGAGACTCGAAGTGCCATCGTCTTTCTGTAAGTTGACGGTGGCACCGCATCCGATCAGACCGCTGCATAAGTCGCGAAGCCCTATCTGAGCCGCCACGCCCAACGCAAAAGACCCATCTTTGGTTTTCATATCAACGTTGGCTCCGTAAGTGAGAAGCTGACGAGCCAGCAACTTGTGACCATTCTGAACGGCTAGGTACAAAGCGTGATAACCTTTCGAATCTTGGGCGTTAACATCTGCCCCTTGTTCTACTAAAATGTTCATCGCTTCCCTGTTTCCCTTGTAGGCGGCCAGCATAAGGGGTGTCATCCCGTCGCGTCGTCTGGAGTCTACCGGCACATCCAGTCGTAATAACAGCTTGATCATGTCCAGGCGTCCGTGGTACACGGCCACTGCCAGACCGTTCCACCCTGCCCCATTGGTCGTGGGTTGACCAGCTACTTCTTTGATAATCTCCTTATTCTGTTCAACGATGCGCCGAATACTCCCCTCATCTTCAAAGCGAATAGCGTACAGTAGCTGGTCCCGTGCCTTGCGGATCGCTTTTTCTTCTTCGGTCATTTCGTCTTCATCAGGTGCCTCGGATTCAGGCACCTCCGACTGCACCTGGAGAACAATTTTAAAATTAGTGTGTTGCTGAAAAAATCTTGGCCACGTATTTTAAATGCATACAGACGCCTCAAACGATTTTATCCAGAGTGAAATTGTGACGCACTACGGCTGCTCTTAAAATAAAAAAGCTACTTTTGGGTTGGGGTTTTTAAAAAATCAAATGCAAGGCAGGGTGAAAATGTTAAATCTATAACAAGAAACTTTTTTTTGCCAAATTGCTCTAATGCAGGAGTAGAGCATCACCTGTGGGTTAAAATACATTACCAAAGTTAAACAAATTTAGCTATGAAAACAATATTAAAAATCCAAACCTTGTGTCCACAATTTTATTTTACGGATTTTTTCATCGTGACAAAACAAAGTTATCTAAATACAGAGGCAAAAAAAGAGAGGTTCGCTCAACTTTGCTCTAGAGCACACATTGCTTACACGAAAACGAAAACAAAAACTCAGATTTGCGACAACTTACCCCTTCGTCTTTGGCATTATAAAAACAGAATGTCAGAAAATCTGGAGTGTGTTTCCTTTTCAAGGTACACAACTCACAACTACATGTTATTTCTTGCTAACCCCGGACCGCCACCGTGTAGCTGAACCCGACCTACATATTTTACATAGACTTTATTAGGTCCCCCGTGTTAAACTTATTCAAAACAGAAAATAAGAAAGGATAACGATTTAATGAATAGCAGCGAATTAACGAGAAGAGAATGACGTTTATTTGTTTTATAATTTGTATGGAAATCCTTGAGTTGCTCCATTTTATGTTACAAATGATTGTTTTTTAACATAACAAATCCGCTCTTAAAAGTGTTTAACTGGTTACAATAAAGGCTTCGGATCACTTACAACCCCCAGATGTAGATACACACCGAGAAATAAAAGATGTTGCATGTTCTAAATCACCGTTGTTTTCAAATAATATCAATGTTGTTTTTGCTGTTGTATAGGGCAATGTCATCGGTTTTATAAACAGTCTACCTCGTCAAGGTCGATTTTCACACGATGAAAAATTGTGAAGTTTATAAAGAAGATGCCAAAAAGTGGCCCCTTTGCATCCATTTTGATGGCATAAGCACCGGTCTTTGTGACAGTTTTATCGTAAGAAATTAAACGAAACCGGGTCTCTAAAACAATTATACTTCGCACTCACTCCCCGATTTATAGAGCATAGTCAATGAAAAAGTATGTGATACCTTCCGGGTTTTAACGTGGTCAAACCACATGAAGTTTGAGCCCACTTACCGATTCAGACATTCTGGACGCGGTGTTTCTAGATTCAGTCATGCTGGTTGTAGCTTGAGGTATATTGAAAGATGGCACATAAATCAGCGGTATCCTCTCCGCAACCCCACGTTCTTCGCAATTCAACCCCAAAAGAAGTGTGGGACAAGCGACTATGTACCTGTTAATAGGATAGAAAAATCGACGCGAACCTATCTTTTGTATAGTAGACGAGGGTGTTTATTTAGTAAATTGACGACTCTCTAGTTTAGATCAACCGTTTCGTTAACTGGTTATGCGGACACACAAAAAGGAGGCAATTGCCTGTTAGTCTAATTGTCCAGCTTCTTCGATATTTATGACTAAGAATAATATTTGCACATCATGGGGTGTTACACATTTCAGCCATGGCAACTTTTGGTTATGTATAATCTACTGAACGGCCATTGGCATTTAATAGTTATATTGGGTATAGTATTTGGCTTTGCGTGAAAAGAAGACAGCCCTCCGGTCAAAATTCTCACTTGTGTGTCATTTTCGGAAATTCATTGTTGTAAAAAGGAAACGAAAATATGTAACCCTTGAAAGGAATATTGTGAAGTATGCAGTTTCGAAAAAAAATTAATAAAATGCCATAAATTCAAAAAAAGGCACACGAAAAGCCTTTTAATCGCAGCGTCAAGAACAGAATTTTACGGGCAATTTCCAATAACAATGCATCTCCGCCTATTTCATTTACGGTTACTTTACACTAACGAATAGAAGAAATAAGTCGGCGCAAAGGTGCAAGTGATGTAAATTCTCAGTCAAGTGTGAACGAACGTACCGATGTGGGAGGTGCGCTCTTTTGTGGCTGATCAGGGCTCCGGAAATTATCGAATGGCGAAACTCCACGGGCAGGGCCATTACATCTTAATGATATTTTCCGTAAATATTATTAAAGTAAACAACACGGACTAAATGACAGGTGTATACAGGTGTAATGGAGTTCATTCCCGACTTCATTTTGTTTTAAGGCATGTAATATTGTTCCATGGCCGGAGGTCTGAGAAAAGTGAGCAGGACTGTAACATATTGCAGTTCGAATCCAATATGGTTTCATGGTGTTTTAAAACGGTTTTGGGGATTCAAATACCATACATATGTAAGGTATATTTTATGGACACCATAAAAATAGTGAAATAAAATGGCAAAATACTGATACTTGCGTGACTGGATGCAATAGCGAGCAAATAAGATAATTTGTTATTCGCTTAAAAATTTAGAACACACAAATTAAAGTTTTACGTACAAAAGACGAGAAAGCAACTTCTTTCTCTCAAAAGTACTCCTTTCATCTGCAAATCATCTGTGCAAAATTGTGAACTCCCTTTACCGACTTTAATACGCCCTTTTAAATAAGAATAAGCAAACAAATAACTAATTTGAACCCGTTTATTCAGCTAGCCATAAATAAAACTACACATAAATTCGGTTACATTACCAATAGCTAGCAGTCAGCTTACAATTTTAACGGTGTTCTATAAAAATACTTCTTAATACAGTTAGAGTTAAAATTGAGAAAATTCAACATGGTCGATTTAATATCATATAAATAGAGCAATAATATCTTTAAATGCAATTGTATTGCAATTCATATGGCCACGCTCAGTCAATTCTAACTTTCAAATGATCTAAGCCTAATCTTTGTACTTTTACCGTAAAGACAGTGCGTCTCTTCGTTCTTCTCCCTTTTGCATAAATATGGATGTGGTAATAAAAAAATCAGAATGTTCAGATCTACATCAGATTAACCATTGTGGCTACGGATGGGATCATGAAGGAGAGAGATATATCTTTTTATATAGCATAATTACTAAGAAAAATCACGCTACATTTGATGACCAAAAAGAAGCCTAAAATCCATCAACAATTCATTACTCTATTACTCACCAAATACATTAAATATATATTTTACAAATTTGAAATTATCATGCTAATTTTTCCCAATCAATTAATACTTCCCCTTGAAGTTTTTTTTAATTTTATTTTATTTTTAATTTCAACTAAATAATCGTGGTTTTAAAGTCATTAATCATGTCTACACACATAAAATTCTTCCACTAAACTAGCACATTCTACTATAAGCTTTAAAAGAACATAATCAGCAGTACAAGGCTAAAGCACTTTTAAATGTGATAAATAAATGGATGAACTGTGACGTATTGAATTTATCACAAAATTCAATATTCAATCATCGTGATTGACTGAAGATTTATATGATTATTGTGAGTAGTGAATGTAATGTATTATAAAATATTATAGAATGATTTATCTGGTAAATAGTAATATAAGGTGAGCTTGTCAGTGTAAATGTTTGCGAAAACAAAACTATGCAGATGTGGTTAAAGGGAATAATCTAAAAATTATGCCGGCCTTAAAAGAACAATACATTTTTCAGTTCACAGAGTGCATTCCTGAATGAGCATTTATGTGCGCATGTTTGAGCAAGTGGATTTTTGCAGACATCTTTCTCTTGTATATAAGATCAAAATTTATTTTGAATAAGATCTTCAGTAAATTCTGTAAACATGAGATTGTTCCTTTCCACTCTATATAGGAAACTGAGAATGATTTTTTTTTAAATAATAAAACTAATGCTGTTGTCTGAAGCACCTTCAAAAGATTGCACAAAATGTTCAAACACCACTAGAGATAATGTATAATTTCTTTCCAAGAAAAAGATTTAAGAGATTAAATATTTGAATACCTCATGAATAATGTGTTAGATGTAAATGGCAAATTAAAATGGCAGCTGTAAGATACATTTTGAGTATATTTGGGCTCTTTAATTCATCCTTGCAAAAAACAAAAAGCCCTACGCAAGGAATGTTGGGCTGTTGTGTGTGTGTGTGTGTGTGTGTGTGCGCGTGTGTGTGTGCACGTGTATGCACATGCACAAATGTATGTATGTATGTATGTATGTATGTATCTATGTATGTATGTATGTATGACATTTTATTGCACTAAAGGTAAACCTTGATTTAGATACAACTATACTAGTTACAGTATTGTTAGATACCACAGGGTAAATGAATAGTTTGGTACATGATTAGTTTGGCAGAGGTATATGCACACGTATCATTCCAATAATAGATAAAATATAAATAAAATCCTATCAAACTACCAACATTTTCTGTCATAGTCTTGTTTGAGAGACCTTTCAATGACAATATTTTCATGTCGGTTTATGTGCACTTATAAACACTCAAAACTTTTTTTTTTTTTTTACCAAATATTAGAATCACCAAAGCTGTTGCTATGTACATACCACAGTCCTCTCAATAAATGGCACACTAAACAATAAACCATACTATTGTAATAAATGCCTTATCCCAAAATATGGGGCTAGTTCTTCCACTGTCTAAATGATAAATGCCTGAGCAGGTCATGGGACTGTCAACAATCCAATGGGAGCATTGCATGGAAGTAGGGAAATGGTTCAATATAACCCAATATAAAATACTTCACATAACTTCAATTAGGGATACACATGCTGTACCTCATTTCCACTTGTATATTTGCAATTGCACTCTTCCATGCATCCAGGGAAAATAGTGAAAATATCGACAAATATGGTTTGGGGTCCAGGGGAAAGCCTGGCCCTATGATATTTTTCGGTCCCAAAAAGTCAGAAAAATCATCCCTGTGCACCACAAACACATACCCAAGATCCCCATCCTACAGTGACAAAATAGTATGCATAGGCACTTACAAAAAAAAAAAGGGGGGGGGGGGAATGAAAAAAGTATTCAACTATAAATAGTAATTCAGTATCACGCTAATCTTCTTCTAAAACTGGACACTCTGGTGGGTGGAAGTAGCCAAATACATTAAGTTCATACAGAGAGGCCAGCACCATGAAGAGGACGTAGACTAGCATGAGCACGATGCCAAACTTCCTGTCCAGTTTCCAGCCGTTTAAGTGAGTGGCCACTAGGAGGAACATCACAGTGGACAGCAGGGTCAAGGAGGAGTAGGTCAGACCTGCACAGATAGAGAAATTATTATCATTTTTGATTTTCTTTGTCTGGTGGTTGAAATATGATAAGATTTTTAGCCTAAGAACTATAAATAGGATTAATTGCAGCTCATGTTTTGGATTTTGAAAACAACCTTATCTAGTTTTAGTTTTGCCATATTTTTCATATGGTTGTAAAAAAATTATCCATTTAAAATTTAAAACCAGCCAATAAGAATTTTCCTACCATTTTTAAAACTACTCATCTTTAGCATGCCATTGGTATAACCTTACTGTATTAGTCATCATCTTACTGTATTAGTCATAATCATTTATATTTATGACCAGCATATCTTATTAATTTGCCAGCACAATAAAACCTGCCTTCACTGTAGACTTCTATTGACTCCAGACCATGCATACAGGAGTCTAGAAACCAGGGGAGACCCAGGCACAGTAGAATATCAAACACATTACTCCCTACAGCATTGGACACTGCCATGTCACCATAACCTAAAATATAATGTCATCAGATAGAGGCTTAGGTTTTAAAAATCTGAAAACATTTTATCTATCCATCATTTTTATTTTTATTATTTTTATTATATTTTATTATTATTATTTTTTAATCATGGGTAACCTCAGGAGCCTTCAGAATTGAAATGAAAACCTCAGAATTCTGTGACTTCACAGAAAAAGCTTTCGTCTAAATTTATATTTTAATGTAACCCCCCCCCCCATCTTACACCATGCATTATGTTATATGCAATGCTGTAAACCAATCACTTACAGCAATCATATATTATAAACTTACTTTTTAAAAACATACAATATAATTAACTGATAAATTTCACATTTTAAAACATAATGGGCCTGCAGATTATATTGAACATAATAAGCACACACACACACACACACACACACACACACACACACACACAAAAAAAAAATCTAAGCAATGGTGATGCATTAAGCCTGCAAGCCAATATAATCTAACCTGAAGTCTACTATATTCTATAAAAAATTTATAATCATTTATCATTTAACAAAGGGAATATAATTGTATCTGGTTTAAAAGGGTTTGTGCCACAGCAAGCTGTTACTTATTTCATCACAATCATGACTGACTTCCCAAGATATTGAATGATTCTGTTTTATTTTTACAGCTGATTTTGTCATTTCAAACATGACAAATGATGTAACAAAAAACAAATCAGCATAAAAAACTGAATGGTTTCTAAAGATACTAAACATTTTTTAACTCTGCAACGTGCTTTAAACCTTCAATAGAGGCCCTCATCAAGCACCTCCAATCTCTTAAGAGATGATTCACTTTTCCATCATCTTTACACAAGGGACCATGAAAACATTTTTCTGAATTAAGAATCACTTGCTCATGTGCATTTACCAGGAAAATCTTATTATCATTATGAAAATGACCGGATACAACATTTAAATATCATCCAGTTAGGGTCCCTGGTCAATCAAAAGGACAACTCACCATCCCTGACCACCAGAAGACTGGCAATGGCATCTGGAACACTGACTCCAGCTGCCAGGAATGTGATACTCATCATTGTATCTGGGATATTCAGGGTGTAACCTGTACAGGAGAGAAGTATATTACAGAAATCATGTCATGAAAAACAAAAGGAGGTAGATATTCACAAATGGACATTAAATCAATTTTTGGCACGTGAAATTAGCATTAAACCTTATTTTTACTTTCAATGGAGCAAGCCAATGAGATTTTGTTTCCGGTTTTACAAAATTTAAAAAAAATTAAAGAAAAAAAAAACTGAATTAAAAATTGTCTATCTGCTAGTAGATTAATACCCCAAAAATAATATGTGGGTTCCCCGAAATAATAACAATGATGAAGCACAAACCTATAATAGTGATCATCCACACCAGTAGATAGGAGTATGCAGAGATCCAAACCATGGACATGATGAAAGTCACCATGAACCACTTCTTCCAGTTCTCTCTGCGGCAGTCAGGGACAGTGATGAACAGGAAGACATTCAGAGGGAGAGAACACACCCAGAGAAAACGTCCACAGTGGCCCTCGGGGATCTTGAATGGGTGTGGTTCATCATCCAAATGGGTGTGCTGCTTCACTGAAATCAGGTGTGACCAATCACTATTAATAAATGTTATGTTGTGTACATTTTCAAAGCGAGTTTGAGATATCAGTAAATGCAATTTGCTGTACATGATTCTTACTGTAAATATATATTTAGACAGGCACAATTTAAAGATATACAATAAGAATAACCCCTCTTTATGCATCGCCTAAAAATGATATCCCCTCCACAGAAATTGAATAAAAAGAATAGTAATAGTAATAATAAGAACAAGAAAATGATAACAAGGATGATAACTATAATACATTAACCTTACACAAAATTAGAATATTTGTGTACATATTTTTTTCAAATCAAAATTCCACACATTGATAACAATTGCAAGTCCTGTTTTAACCAGTGCTGTCATCTAATAAAAATAATTGCAAAGAATACACCCTGAAATAAATATTGAAAAATCAATATCAAAATAATAATAATAATAACAACAATAATAATAATATAAAAAAGAGAAAGATGTGTTTCCTGTATCCTACACACATATAACTCATCAGCCAAAGTTTATAGTGAGTAAACTGTCCATATACCTGGCACAATACAATGAACCACCCCAATTCAAACTTACCAAATTCCACTTCATCTTAAAAGATACAGCATCAATTGAGTGCAATCACCAAGGTGAAGTCCTTACATTTCTTTAATTTCTTCAATGAAACACAGGCATCAATGTCCTAGACCCCTAAATATACATTTATAAGCAGGAAGCAACCTCCAATTTTCAATAAGAAAAGTCCATTTCATAATTCAATCAATATTTGTTGAACATCAAAAACAATCTGAATTCCTTCAATAAAAAAAGGTAATATGAAAAATTTCCAGTACCCATTTGAAATATTGCCAGTCAAAACTGACAAATTATTATAATGTACTTTCATGAAAATTGGAGGTTTTATAAAAACCAAAGTCAAATAGAAGTAGAGAAGATAATTACCCATAACCTCTGAGTCAGTGCCATGTATAACTACAGCATGGCCATTTGTTTTGTCAAGATTCCTCTTGGAAACTGAAGAGTAAAGCTCCACTGTAAAAGATATGTAAGCAATGTCATGTTATGTCTTTGGCATACATATATATATATATAATTAATTTTCATAAGCAAAGGAATACAGTGTTGAAAAAAAAAGGGGGGGGGGGTTAAAACAATCAGTTAAGTGCCCAAAAGTCATTTTTGGTCAAATAAAAAAAGTGATTACATTTCAGTAGTTTTAATATAGATTTTATACAGGTGTGAAACTGGTTAAAGATATGCCCGAAGAATGCTGCAAGGAAGTGGGCAATAGAGTGACATAAGCAGTGTCAAAGTGTGTGAAGCCATTCAGGTTGATTCAGTTTTGGGTGCATTTATTTCAACTCCAGTCTTTCAACAGGTATTTTCATACAGAAGATGAGAAAAACCCGAACATAGATAATATTTATGAAAACAAAAATAAAAAATAAAAAAAAACACACAAACCATTCAACTATATTTAAAGTAAAATAGTAGCAGAGCAGCTGACAGAGTTTTTCACCTGTATGTCAATCAACCAGTGTGTGCTTACTTCAACCTTACACAAGAGAGTAACCTTAGATATAAAGGTTTGACAGACAGGTTTGACAGATATCTTTCAAGGATACCTTGTGAAATTTTGGTTATAAATGTCTTCAAATTTTGTTGAAACAAAAAATGCACATATCTCAAAATAGAAAAAAAAAGACGCCAAAATAGCTTTGTTTAGAAGCCAAATGCTCCTTTGCTTCAGAATTATTTTTTAGCAAACATCAACATCATATGTGAAATTCTTTTTTTAATCCTTACTTCTTAAGCATCATCAGGGCTGCATGCATCATATCAAGTCAAACTTAAGAAGTGACATGCATAGATGGAATCTGTGCTTGTGCAAAAAATATATTTGCATATATGCTGCATATATGTACAGCACTAACCTCAAAGAAACCTGCCACCATGGATGCATTTGCATGGCAAAGTGTCACACGAAACGTGGAGCTTAACCGGCCACACATCATCAACACATCCATGAGTCCACAAGATGAGATCAGCCAAAACCCCAAGCCATACAATGAACTTTCCACATGAACAGAATATCATCCAAGCCAGTGTCTAATCTTTTGGCTATTACCATGCTCCATACAGTAGTTCTACCTCTGAATGTGGCACATGTTTAGTGAGCACTGAGATGTGTGTGTTATACGGTATAGGTTCCATTACCAAGAAAATGCATATCCATCTTTTTCTGGTAATTGGAATTATTCACTCCATGGGGCATTTTAATGTTAACTGTGCCTTGTAATGGTGCCTTGTAATGGTGTTTCCAAGTTTCCCATTTTTGAAGAAAGGACATCTCGAGATCAAAATCAATTTTGTCTCATCGCATTAAATCTAATACAAGAAGTTTTAGTTGGGAAATGGGCTGGAAATCTTCATAAACTACAGTGCGTGAATCCAAGTCTCTCTTACTGGCAAGCACTTCTGATGAAATTTTATCATAGAAGAGAAGACAGTTACATTCTAATCCTTCACACTACACCAGGAAAACCATATAATCTTTATAATACAATGAAAATACCCACAACAAAACACTTACCTTCTCCGTCAGATTCACTATCATCCCCTGATGCGGTATTCTTAAGTTCCAGCTTCTCATAAATGATTTTCTCCTTCTCTGGGTCCTGTCTTCCATTGATGATCAACCCGTCATGACAGGGCTTGACTTTCGTGTTCACCCAGGCCTCCAGGGAGGGATTGAAATACATGATGATCAAGTACACTGCATAGAGGGCTAACAGGGTTAGAGACTCATACCTGTGGTTGAAAGTAAAAAAACAAAATTTAGTCTTAGAACAACTTATCTAAACTAATACTATGGTGATGACTTGATCTTTTCAATGGGGAGAATTGTGAATTTTACAGATACTGTACTTTTGAAGTCATAAATCCATCAAATTATAACATTTACCTTGAGTGGTAACAACAAAATTGAAAATTGAAAAGCAAGCTATCCTCAAGTTTGAGGGCATGTTCCCATTAACCGAGTACTAACTGGATCGATCCAACTCC